CGCCCCGCCCCGCCCCCAACCCCGCAGCTGGGCGTGGTCTAGACGTCCCACTTCTCTGATCCTCGGGTTTCCTACCCCCGTGCTAAGGGGACAGCAGAACCTTCCTTGAGGGGTTGTGGGCAAAGGCTGGGGGCCTGCGGAGGGGTCGGGGGTCCCGCTGGACCTCAGGAAAGCCTGAGTTCACCAGCTGCTTTGTATTCCACCCACCAGGGAGGTCTGGCAGACCCAGCTGTGAGTCCTCAGAGGGGCTCTGGGTGGGGATGGCAGTGAGGGTTGGTGACTGGAAGGAGGGCCAGGCTCTCCCTGGGAGCAGGAGCTGCTGGTGGTGGTGGGGGGCGGACATGGCATAATGAGCTGGTCAGTGTGGCCCCCTTCCTGGTGCCCTACCTACTCCTGTATCAGGAAGTGCGGTAGAGGGATGGGGGTGGGGGGTGGGGGGTAGGGAGAGGCCAGTGACTGACTTAGGCAGGATCCTGGTGAGAACTCTACCCTCTCTCTTGTCTGGCCTTGGCTCCCCAGTCTTTGGGGTCTTGCTGGGCCCTGGATGAGGACTCTCTTTCCCCTCGGCTGTCCCTGATCTGCCTTGCTCCCCACTGCAGTGTTCCCAGTGGACAAAACACAAAGGGGGAGGGGAAGACTCTGCTGCTCCAACTGCTGGGGCCTGAGAACAAATGGGGGGGGCACGTGGTGGGAGACCCCAGCCTGGGCGAAGTGGTCTCTGGCTTGGCCCTGCACCCTTCCCCCAGCTCAGCGCCTATCACCCTCCTGCCTTTTGTGTGTTCACATTCCCGCACGTCACACCTGGCTCTGGCACCCGCCCTGGTCCAGAGCGCATCTCAGCTGTCTCCTCAAGAAGCTCACAGGCACAGCAGCGGCTGCGGATGTGGTAATTAGGCTGCTCTCCTGAGGTGTGACTGCGGCGCAGTGAAGACTCAGGTCTGGGAGCAGCTCGTTCTTCCCAGCGGGGTGTGGGTGCTGGTGCTGGTTCAGAAACGTCCGCAGCCCCTGGGTGTGGGCTGGACTCGGTGACTCACTCCTAATCCGTGAAATGTGGTGGGAGAGCAGTGATCGCCTTCGGGGCTAGCTCACAAAAGGCACGCTGGTCCTCTGGGTGCTCTCCTGTGAAGCCAGCCACCATGTGGTGAGGACGCTCAGACAGCCCCACGGAGAGTCCACTGGGAGGAACTGAGGCCTCGGCCATCAGCCGTGTGGGCCGGCCTTCTTGGAGGCAGCTCCTCCAGCCCCAGTACAGCTTTTGGATGGCCAGAGCCTTGGCCAGTGTCCTCACTGAAATTTCATGAGCCACCCTGAGCCAGAACCACCCAAATAAGCCACTCCACAGGAGCTGTAAAATAATAAATGTTTTAAGCTTCTGGAGAAATTTGCAACGCAACAGTAGATAACTAATACAGTGTTGCTAGGGAAGGTAACCCAATGGAGATGACATTTGAGTTGTTTTGAGCTGACCAGAGGCCTGAGGCCTGGAAAGCTGGAGTGCCCGCCCTGGTGCACCTTGTGGAGTGGCGGATGGCCTGCATGCAAGCTGAGTAGACTGCTCAGAGCTCTGGGTCATGAGGACTAAAGTAACACCAAGCGACTCACACCAGCTGGGGGCCACAGGACCAAAGACTGGGAGCCTGGCCGAGGCCCACCAGGAGGTCTTCAGGGACCTGTCCTGGCCCTTCCTGCCTGGCAGGCAATGGTCTCTGAGCAGCCTGCACCTCAGAGTTCTCTCCACTCCTGAAGTTTCAGCAGCTCCTGCACATCCAAGGGGCAGATGGCCTGTAGACCGTGGTGGCCAGAGATCCTGGCAGAAGGGCCCTGTGTTCTATAGCATGACATGAGGGGGCCGTAGGCCATGGCATGGGGGGCAGTAGGGGGCAAGGTCTGGTGATACGTTACTTGGGCTCCAAGCTGTGAGTGGACCTCGAGATGTCATGCAATGCGGTGTCCTTGGCCATTGCGGTAGCGCTTGGCTTTGCTGCCCAAGGCATCCACATTTTGTCCCCTCCCAAGCCTATCTCTGGAGGAGCCCGAGGAGGCCTGACTGGGGACACAGTGCTGGCCCCGGCATGAGAGCACAGTTTGGTTCCTCCCCCTCCAGACACTGACATCCATCTGTCTGTCTCTGTAAGTGAGAAGATGCAGGATGCCTGTTGTGCTGAGACCTGGGCTCCATGCTGTCCATGCAGCAGAGACACAGAAAGGGATGTACCCATCGTTGTCTGGTGGCCAACCTCCAGGGGCCTATATCTCTCTGCATGAAGAAGACAGGGAGAGGACGTGAACTGGTGGGATGTCCCCCGAGACAGCTGCTTTTCCTGGAAACAGCTGGGGTGCTCAGGCCCCTCGGCACCGGAGCATGGTACGGAAGTTCTTGCGGAAGCTGTCGTCTAAGAAGGCGTAAAGAAAGGGATTGATGCACGAGTTGGCGTAGCTGAGGCTGGTGACGACGTATGACATGCTGATGACCAGCGAGGTCTGGGGCAGGTCTGTGATCAGGGCCACAACAGAGGCCAGGTGGAAAGGTGTCCAGCAGAGGAGGCACACAGCCAGCACAGCCAGGACCAGGACAGTCACCTTCCGCTTGGCCTTGCCCAGAGCCTTGGCACTGGAGCGGAGCTGCACGGCCCGCAGCCTGCGCAGCAGGTCCAGGTAGAGCACACAGATGGTGCACACGGGCACCACGAAGCCCAGGACCAATGTGTAGATGCGGCTGGCCTTGAACCAGGTCCTCTCAGGCCGTGGGAAGCTCAGCCCACAGCTTGGGACCTGCAGCTCATTGCTGTAGACACTGGCAAAGGAGAAGAAGGGCAGGACGAGGACGGTGACGCCCAGCCAGACACACAGACTGGCCACCTTTGCCCCCCGGTGGGTGCGCCAGGGCACGTGGCGGGACCGTACAGTGGCCAGCACCACCAGGTAGCGGTCCACACTCATCATGGCCAGGAAGTAGACACTGGAGAAGATGTTGTAGTGGTCGAGAGCCAGCACCAGCTTGCAGAGCAGCTCCCCGAAGGGCCAGCGCTGCAGCAGGTGCTCGGCGATGTTGACCGGCAGCACCAGCGTGAAGAGCCCGTCGGCCACGGCCAGGTTCAGGATGAACACGTTGGTCACCGTCTTCATCTGGGGTGCCCTCAGTATCACATAGATGACGGCCGTGTTGCCAGCCAGCCCCACGACACAGATGGCAGAGTACACAGCTGGCAGGAGCACATAGAGGGTGGGCAGTGGCTGGGGGAAGGTGGCGTTGGGCCGGGTGCCATTGTCCTGAGAGAGGTTGGCTTCCGTCGTGGTGGTGAGGGACGAGCCTCTGCAGTCGGGGGGCTCTAGGTGCCTGGTGGCCTGCATCATGAGGTGGGACCGCTGGCAATTCGTGCCCTTGGCAGGTGGGGGGTGCCTCAAAGTCGGGCGTCTGGGCAGGGGCCTGTTTGTGCTGGATTCTGGGAGAGAAACAACCAGAAACACCTCAAGTCCTCTGTCAGAGGTTGCGGCCACTTTGTCAGGCCAAGGACGTGCAGGGTCCTTCTTTCCACCTCAGTCCCAGGGCCAGAGAGAGCCCGGTAGTGGCCTCCTCCAGCCTCCTCCTGGGAGGCGCTTTTGGCAGGTCCATTCCTTTCCCCACCTTCAGGGAGCAGCCTGACCACCCTCCTGGGGGCCAGAGAGAGCCCGGTAGTGGCCTCCTCCAGCCTCCTCCTGGGCGGCGCTTTTGGCAGGTCCATTCCTTTCCCCACCTTCAGGGAGCAGCCTGACCACCCTCCTGGGAAGAGGAAACCCAGATCTGCCCACCCTAGCTCCACCCCAGCCACCCCCTGAAGCACAGTCTAAGTAGAATCAAGGCAGCCCCTCCACAAACACACCTTGCAGGGGCAGCTCCAGCCCCTCTGCATCCGGAGCAGCTTCCTTCAGCAGTCCCGGAGCCCGCACCCTCGCTGGGCACTGCAGACCCTGCTTGCCACCTGATCTTCTCTCCACTGACCTGTTGGGTGCCTCTTGCCCAGAAGTTGGTGGCCTTGGTGGCTCTCAGTGGCAGCCAAGCACAGACAGCAGCAGGGATGGAGGGCTGAGGTGTGTCCCCCACTGATAGACCCCCAGCCGGGATCCCAGCCCACCAGCTCGCGGGCTTCCAGGACCTGCCGCTGGCCGCCTCAGCCCCTGCTGGCTTCCCGAAGCAAAGCGAGGTGGCAGCGCCGATGCGTGAGGAGGGAGGGAGGCGGGTCCCACCTGCTGACGTGGAGCTCGGTGGGGGGAGCAGCTGCTGTGGTGTCGCTGTCCCGTCCCAGGATCTCAGCGCTCACACACCTGGGCGGACTCCTGCGTGTGTGTGTGCATGTGTGCCTGCATGTCAGGAGGGCTGTGGGCAGTGGACGCTGAGGGCATTTGCACCTCTGTCCCCGGGTCACTAAGGACCTGGGCACCCTTATCTGTGCACGTGGGTGTCTTGGTGGGTCCTGATCCTGTGCGTGTGCCTGTGTGTGAATGTGTGTGTGTGGGCCTCTGTCAGCCTTCATGGGGGTTTCTGTGGGTGAGCTCTGGCTGTGTCTGAGGGGTCTGTGTATGTACTTGGCTGAGTGGGGCTTGGGGGGCTGTGTGCCCTCAAGTGGAAGCGGAACTTGTTAACTACAGACAACCCAACTTCTTTTTTGTCTTTTGCTAAAAGAGGAACACAGACTTTTGCAAAAACCAGTCAGGCTGTGGAGGCTGTAGAGAAAGGAGGTCGCTCCCCCCCCACCCCCCCAGCCTCCTGCTGGCGCGTCTGCATGGACAGGGAGCGCTGCGCTGCTCTGGGCTGGTCCTCGCTGTCCTCCTCCCACCTCCTGTTTTTCCTCCTTGGCTGGATGCACTCTGGTTTCTTCAACCCCAGCCTGTGGGTAGCCCCTCACAGCCAGCTTCTCTCAGGAGAGTTTCCTCCCAAGTCTATCGGTGCCCATGGCCCGGGTCAGGACCAGAGGTCCTGACGTCACCAGGTTGAGGCGTGTCCATGTGCACTGTGGGTGGTCCCCAGCCCTCCTCTGTGTTCTGTGCATGGATGTTGAGCCCAGAGGCAGGCATGGGAGGGTGAGAGCTCAGCCCGAGGTCAGGGTGGGCACTGGGGTCTGAGAGTGTGCTGGGGGAAGCTTGTGGCTTGTGGCAGCTTTTCACACGGGAGCTTTTCACTGGGCTCCATGAGGTCAGGCACGGCGGTCAGCAGCCATGAGGAGAGACTGTATTGGGCCAAATTTCATGATTTAGGGTGTTTGTGGGATGAGGTGGGGGTGCTAGGTCCATTTACAGCTCCTGGAAACAAGAGGCGCAACAGAGAGGGGGTCAGGCCTAGTGCATGGGGCCTCGTCCTTCTTGACCCCCATAGCCCAGGTGGTGGTGAGGGTGTGGGCTGGGTTGACCACAGCATCAGCACTGGGCACGAGGGGAGCAGGCCTCTGTGGTCTTGGCAGTGGGGCTGACCACACTGGGCCTTGCTGGGGGGCGCTGAGGGGACCCCTCCTTCCCTGTACATCTTGCGGATGGGGACCCGGGGGAGTGTTGGTGGGAGGGATGGGGACCCGGGTGGGTGTTGGTGGGAAGGGTGGGGACCAGGCAGGGGATAGTTGGTGGGAGGGGTGGGGACTTGGGGCAGCAGGGGTGGGTGGGGGCTGAAGGGGGTCCAGACGTGGGTGCTAAGCTCATAGGTGCATTCAGCTGAACTGGGCTCAGGACCCCAGGGATGTTGGCTATAGTTGCCAGGCCACTCTAGCATTAGGGCTGCGGGTGCAGGGGCCCCAGATGCCTATTCCTCGTCCCCCAGAAGCCCCTCACCTGTGCCTCACTGCAGCCCCACCATCCACTCTGGGGATGCTGCCCAGTCTTTGCTCCCAGCCCTTGGGCTCAGAAAGGTGGCTTTGTTCTGCCCCAGGGTTGGGCATTGTTCCAGCCACTGTGAGCATCATTCTGTGGAAGTGATTTCCATTTTCAGAAACTAATTGGCCTTTTCAAATTAGTCTATGAGGCACTCTCAGGGTGTGGAGAGGAGAGGCAGGGAGGGAGGGGGTCCTGCATCAGCTCAGTGGGTGGAGGGGGTTGGGGCCAGGCTGTGTGGACCCCAATGGGGAAGTCCTCCCCAGCGTCAGGGGTGCTGGAGGGTGGAGGGACTGGAACGTTGCTCTGTGTGGCTGTTTGCGTGTGGGGGTCTCCCAGGGACCAGGGAAGCAGGGTCCAGAGGCATTGTGCACTCAGGGATGGGGGAGTGAGCACTAATGGGGCCCTGAGCAACAGTGGAGCTCAGTGGTGCTGGCTTTATTCTTGTCATTTCATGTATGTGTGGCAGCCACCCTCCACCTGTCCCTTAGGGTGCCCTGCATTCAGTCTGTGCACCCATCCACCCACACACATGTGCACATGCACACACGTAGCAGACATACAGACACACGTGCACACACACATGTTATAGTGGGCCTACAGACACAGACGCTCATACAGACACGTGTACACACGTGTGTGCACACTGACCATCTCAGCGCAGTCCAGGCAGGCCCTGGTGGGTGGGGTGGGTGCTCTGCCCTGCAGGCTGCAGTCTAGGCTTGTCTGCCGGTTCCTTGCCCCCACAGCTCTTGAGGACAGCCTGCAGGCTGCAGCTCATATCCCTGCAGGGTACACGCTCCAAGAGCACCCAGGCTGGTCACACCAACCAGAGGTCTGGGCCCCAGCTGCCTCTAAGTTGGTAATTGGGAGGCTTTGCTCTTTGGAAAGAGACAAGTGATTCAGGGCTAGTTTTCCCCAGAATGGGAGGCGGATTCACAGGTTCTCCAGGGAAGCAGAGAGAGCACACTGTATTTGTAAAACTGGGAGGGAGCCATTTGTCACGTATAGATTCAGGATCCCTGCATGCCACCGCCGCCACTCTCCTCCACCACCAGCTGGCATCAAGCCGTCCATGTGGGAGGTCCCCCTGTGCAGACAGGGGCCACAGGTGCCAGGCCGTTGCGGGGAGGCCTTGGGCTCATGGAGGGTGAGAGGGGCCTGGTGCAGCCAGACCATTCCCTCAGGGGCTTCTGCACAGCCACGTCCCAAATCCCTGGCCCTCAGGCCCTGAGATATTTATCCACTGTGCAAACATTCACCCAGCAGTACAGCAGTGACTAGAGAAGGAACATGTCTGCTCTCACAGGGCTGACCCTTCAGTGGGGGAGGCAGACAGTGAAGAAATTAATGAAGTGTATGTCAGAGGAAGGTGAGCTGGAGGAGGAGGTGTGGGAGACCGTCCAAGGGTGAGAGTGGGCGGAGCCGGGGCCTGAGCAGGCTGGGTTAGGGGCCTTGCCCTGGGTGGATGTGGGGGGCGGGAGGTTGGAGGTTAGGCTGGCGTCTGAAGTCCACAGGCTGTGGGCAGCACCAACCCTGACTGAAGCCTTTGGGATGCGGGGGTTTGTGGGGCGCCGAGGCCTCTCTCAGCCTAAAAGCTGGTGCGGCGGCGGGGGTGTGTGTGTGTGTGCCTTCTTCCCCAGCCTCGTGTAGGCAGCAGGTCCTGACTCAGGGGACCTGGCTGCAGAGCTTTCAGCGTGACTTAAACACGCAAACAGGAAGGAGGCCGATTGCTCCCCAGAGCCCCAGGCAGCACCAGGGAGGGTTGTTTAAACTAATTACCAAAGCTCTTGCCACCTTTGTCTTCCCCCACAAGGCCCCATCCAAGCACAGGAGGGATGGGAGGGGCTGGGCCCCAAGGGGCTATCTTCAGTGGTGGCTGCACCCCTCCTCCCAGGCCCCAACCATCAGGAACAGGCCCTGGAACGAGCCTGCCTATGCTCAGAGGCCTCCAGGTGTTCTTGTTTCCACCTGGTGGCTCAACTCCAGAGGGCTTTTCCAAGGAGATGTCACTGCACCTGGCCTTGGGAATTTGTCCCTGGGTGATCTTGGCACACAGGAAGTCGTGGTCAGTGTGGCTGGAGA